TTTTGGGTGATGATATTGAGCTTTCCCACAGTCTCTTCTCACAGTTATAGTCAGTTTGATTTCTGTGTGTTTTATCTTAAGAGGTACATGTGGATAATTGCTTTTTATGTAATTTATAAAAAGTATCCATATTGAATAAGTCCTTGATATTGCAAAATTCTATCATGTCCATTATCATTGTCTAGTACAAATATCATATTGTCCAACTGAGGAGTTATGGTAGCATAGTGGTTACAAGTTGGGCTGCTAAGGTTAATGTCAGCAGTTCTAAACTACCAGTGGTTCCACAGGAGAAAGATGAGGGTTTCTGTTCCTGTAAAGATTTACAACCTCAGAAACTCTATACAGGGTCACTGTGAGTGGGACCCAACCCCAAGGCACATAACCACCAACACCGTTGTCCAACTATTGACACTCCTTCTTTGTTTTGTTCTTTGCATTGCAATCACCAACAGTTTTCAATACATCTTAATTGTATGTTTGATTAATTTCATACTGAAGAAGTTGGTAAAATTCTTCAATATCATCATCACTGGCTGTTGTTGTCAGGTGCCATTGAGTTAGTACCAACCCATAGTTACCTTATGCAAAGCAGAATGAAACACTGTCTGAACCCTGGCCAACCATACTACTGTTGCCACGCTTGAGTCCATTGATGCTGCCACTTGGCTAATCCATCGCGTTGGAAGTCTTCCTCTTTTTCTCTGACCCTCCACCTTACCAAACATTGGCAGGGGCCATATCATCAAGGAACGTAACGGCGGGGGACCCTGAGCATGAAAAGCTCATTGTTTTTTAGCAAAGCAACAATGAATGTCTCCTTGGTTGGCAAAGCCACAAGGAGAACCTCATGCAAAGGCCCTGAGGTTCTTGTTTTCCCTTTATGAATGGCTCATTTTTTATTTTTCTTGATTTTATTGTGGAAGTTTTTTAGTAGGCTTTTCTATAATCATATGCTTTTCTATAATCATATTATAGATTTAAAAATTACATTTAGACACCTTCACACCATATTCAATCATGTGTTGTTATAAAGATTGTTTTTTACATTAACAATAAGTTTCACCACTAGGAAAAATAACACCAGCTAAAGTACTGCCAGTTCAAGTTTCTCAAGTTTAAGATTGCAATCAACATCCTCTATAGTTTTAGCTTGAGACAATAAAAGACCTTTAGAGAATAATTGAAGCATGATCAAGGGTTGTGGGAACACATAGGAACATAAGTGGAAATTTAACTAGATGTTTTAGAAAAGGAAATTGTTAGTATGGGGAAGTTGTTACTCTTACTCTTAACTATAAACCTTTAGGTACTTTTTATATTCTTGTTTTTAAAGCAATTATGAGTAACTGATATGTAGGGTAGTTACAGGAAAAATATTTTGCATGTGAGTTGTGATTAATGAATCTATAGACAATAGTAGATGACGGTAGAGTTAGAAGTTAAGATTTAGAACTTTGTTTGAAGGTTAACTTGACATTTTAGGGATGATTAGAGAAAAACAGAATCACTTATGGAAATCAGATATTATCAAGGTAGCTAGGGAGTATAAGGAAACAGGATGTCAAGGAAAATACTTTGATGTTCTTGATGTTTTTGATGTAACTTGAAAGTTCATGAATCATAAAGACTGTAATCACAGAATAGATTATACTTTAAAGAAATTGATCACTATGAAATCATTGTGTATTGTGAAATTTAACGGTATATAAGGAGCTAGATAATTGAGTTAAATGATGATCATCCTGAATTCAGAACAAACCATCAACTCTGTGTGATTTCTTTTGCCGACTCGACATCTCCCTTCGTGAGCCCCCTAACAAGTTGTCGAGGCTGGTCTCTGGCAAACCATGATATCCTTCTCCAATGACTGGTCCCTCCTGATAATATGTCCAAAGTATGAGAGACGAAGTTTGGCCACCTTGGCCTCCAAGGAGCACTCTGGCTGCACGTCTTCCAAAAACAGATCTAATGGTTCTTTTGCAGCCCCATGGTACTTTCAATATTCTCTTCCAACACCATAACTCAAAAGCATCAATTCTTCTATGGTCTTACTTATTCACTGTCCAGCTTTTGCATGCATATGAGGTTATTGAAAATACCATGGCTTGGGTCAGGAGCACCTTAGTCCTCAAGCTGACGTCTTTGCTCTTCAACACTTTAAAAAGCTCTTGTGCAACAGATTTGCCTATTGCAATACATCGTTTGATTTCATGACTGTTACTTCCATGAGTGTTGATAGCTGATCCAAGAAGAATGAAGTCCTTAACAACTTCAATCTTTTCTCCATTGATAAGAATGTTTTTTATTGGTCTAGTGGTGAGGATTTTTGTTTTCTTGACATTGAGATGTAATCCATATCAAAGGCTGTGCTCTTTGATCTTCATCAGTAAATGTTTTAAGTCCTCTTCACTTTCAGCAAGCAAGGTTGTATCATCTGCATATTGCAGGTTGTTAATGAATCTTCTTCCAATCCTTCATATAATCCAGTCTTTCGGATTATTTGCTCAGCATACAGGTTGAATAAGTATGGTGAATGAATACAACCTGTTGCACAGTTTTTAAAATTTTCAACCATTCAGTGTTTCCATGTTCTGTTCAAACAGCTGCTTCTTAGTCCAGGTACAGATTCCTCATGAGCACAATTAGTGTTCTGGAATACTCATACTTTGCAATGTTGTCCATAGTTTGTCAGGATCCACACAATCGAAAGCCTTTGCATAGTCAATAAAAGCACAGGTAAACATATTTCTGATGTTCTCTGCTTTCATCCAAGATCCATTGGACATCAGCAATTATATCTCTCATTCCACGACCTCTTCTGAATCTGGCTTGAACCTCTGGAAGTTCTATCTCAATGTATGATTGTATCCATTTCTGTACTAACATTCATTTATTTAATTACTCAACATCTATTCAATGGCTTACTTAAGATACACTGATTAGTCTCTGCCATATGGTGATGGTGCAATGGTTAAAGTGTTAACAGAGATAGATGGTTTTAACCCACCAGCTACTCCATAGGAGAAAATTGAGGCAATCTGTGCCCATGAAAGTTTACAGCCTTGAAGATACTATGGGGGAATGTTTTTCTTTTCTATAGGGTCCCTTGGAGTTGTCATCAACTTGACATCAAAGGGTACCATATACCAAAAACTGTTATGGGTGTTGGATAAGGAATAATGAACGTAATAGACAAAATTCCCTGTCTTCATGCTGTATACATTTTACTGATGTTGGCTGAGTAACCAAATATGTTAGTGAAAACTGTGGTCTTCAAAAAATCAACAATAGTTTCTGTCAATTTGATTCTGACTTATGGTGATTCCAGTGTTAGATGGTGACAAATTCCAAACAATAGTATTAGAAAATAGTTTCTGTTTTAGGGCAATATTGTTGGGTGCTATTTTTAAATAGTGGTCAATAAGCTCAATGGAGAATTATCTGGAAAAAGAGTATTCTTGTCAAAGGGACCAACAAGTAAAAGGTCCCACTGTAGGAATGTGGTTAATATATTTGAGAAATTTCTAGGTAGTTTGGATAGAATGGACTGAAAGAGGAAATCCAACAGATAGATGAGGATCAGACATGATAGACTCTTGAATACCACTATAAAGATGTTGCCTTTTATTCTGAGTGAGATGTGAAGCTATGCTGAACTTTAGAACACACTAGTGACAGGACTGGCCTGACATATATTCTGTTTTAACTGTATTTACACATTTTATTGTATTTGGGATAAACTATAGGATGCAAGCAAGGAAGCCCCTCCCTCCATTTACCCAGAAGGCCATAACAATAATGCAGAGTGGAGTAGAGGTGGCTTGGAAATGATTATAGTAATGGAGATGGGGAGAATTTCTGGGATTTTCAGAAAATTTTGAAGGTAAAATTGACAGGATGTGCCTGTGAGTGAGAAATTTGTGAAAAAAGAAAGAGACAAACAAGGATGCCTCTCAGGTTTTTGGTATGAAAAACTGAAAAATATGGAATTGGCTTTAATTGGCATAGGGAAACCACAGAAAATTTTCCTCTATTCACTGAATGAACCAAAGACTATGCTTTGACTTTGGTGATACAGATTCTGGTATGTCATTACCTGTTCACCCAATCTGTCATTCCAGTTGCCTAGGTGTACCCTTCTGGCCCTACCTGGCTAATGCATTTTTTCTTTGCTGGGTTTATTGATGTGTTTTACTCTATTATTATATATATGTTAAAAATTTTTATTCTGAATTAGGTGAAAGTTTACAGAACAAATCAGTTTTCCATTCAACAATTAATACACATTCTGTTTAATTTCATTGTTTATAATCCCAAAATGTAATATCTCTTATTTCACTTTCTCCCTGCCTTTTTCTTGTACTTTAATCTTTTATTGCATTGTAATGCAATTGCTTTTACATATTTCTGCCTTCTGCTTATATTTTGTGCTCTCTTAAGTAAGGAGACTAAAATATGTTCATGTTATAGTTTCATTGTCTAGCACCATACTGAATGTAAGATAAATTTCAAACAAATAATTTTGTATGCCTAAAGGAAAACATGAAAGTATGACTGTCACTATAACAGTTTGAAGTTATTTTTTAATTTCACATATGTTCTTCCAAAGCCTATCTGCCTGTAAGTACTGATCTTCACTATCAGCCAAATATTTTTAAGCAATTATTCATTTTAAATTTCCCCTATCCTCTCTTGGGATTTATTCAGGAGCAGACAATTAGATTTGATGCTTGATTTATCAAAATTCATAGCCTTTGTCTTGTGTGGCATGGTCAGAGATTATAATCTATATTCCTAATCTCTGACCAGAAACAATGGATGGTTGAACAGTAGGATGTGCCCTGAGATAAGAGAGAAACCACACAATTCATATCAGTCATGTCCAGAGAGGAGACTAGAACTGTATGTTTCTCTATAAGATTCTGCCTCATATTGAGTGAGGATTTGTGTATTCTCAGTCCAGAAGAGCAAAGCAAGAACATCATCACTTTCTGTTGTCACCCACTCCTCTTCAGCAATTTCCAAATCCCCTGTTTAATTTCCTGAGTTCTTACCCCATAGACAATGGGGTTCAAAGCAGCAGGAATTACATGGTGTAGGACATTAAGTAAGATAGGAATATCAGGAGAAACCTTTTTCTTAACCACATGAGTGAGCACAAAAACCAACAAAATGGTGCTGAAGAAGAGAATGAGAATAAAGTGAGAACCACACGTGCTCAGAGCTTTGGCAGCTGCCCCCTTTGTTTTGAGTCCAAGAACAGCTCTAAGAATGAAAGCATAAGAGATAAAGATCAGGGTGAGGTCAGAACCCAGAAGAGCCCAGGCTACGATTAACTGGTAGATTCTATTAAGGGCAACATTATCACAGGAGAGCTTGGACACCGAGAGGTTGGCACATAGACAGTTCTCAATGACATTTTTTTCACAATAATGGAGCTGAGCAGAAAGTATGGGGATAGGTGCAGTGAGAAGCGTATTCCTGGTCAAGATGAAGACAACAGCCTTTGCCACAAATTGATCAGTGATGATGGATGGGTAACGTAGAGGCTTGCAGATGGCCACATAGCGGTCATAGGCCATGACCAGGAAGGTGCATGATTCCATGGACATGAAGTTGTTCATAATGAACATCTGAAGAAAGCAAGCAGAGAAACTGATGGGCCTGAGGTCAAACCAGAAGATGGCCAAGACCTTGGGGATAACAGTAAGGCAGAGCACGATGTCCAGCAGTGAAAGGAGGCTGAGTAGATAGTACATGGGCTCATGCAGGGAGGCTTCCAGCCAGATGGTGATAACAAGGGTGACATTGGCCCCCATGGCCAGGAGGAAGAGGAGGCTGAGTGGCAGGGACAGCCAGCACTGCCAGTTGGGAGATCTGACAAAACAGTTCAGGAGGAAATCAGAGAACTCAGTAGAGAAAGAATTGTTGTAAAGCGGCATTGGCAGTGACTTTAGTGAGGGAGATGCCTTTGAGTCTCTGAAGAAGAAAGATGGAGTTAATTCTACCATAGAACCTGGTTAACTATGCACTTAACTTATAAGATCTATAAGAGTAAGGGCAAAACCCACCTTGTTCATCTCCAGTGCTTTGTGTCTAGTACATTTTCTATCACGTAAGAGGCAGCTAACAAATATTGGTTGACTAAATATAAAAGAAAGTGTGAGAAAAATGTTTCCCCCTTTTTTTTTTCATCTGTGTTCCATTTGACATGTAAATCCTGTGAATTTATCTTTTGAGTTTGCTTGATTGATTAATATTTAAAGAACCAGAAATTATTAAGCATCACGTGTTATCTAAATGAAGCCTGTAAAATCAAAGAAAATGAGGTTGGCAAATATTTCAATTTAAAATTTAAAGTATATACAAATATTATCAAAAGATTACATGACACACATTAACAAATTTTTAAGGTAGCAAAAAATGAGATTATTAAGAAGCATGTTGGATTGGGTACGTAGAATAAATCTTCAGATGAAAATGAGCAAAAAACTTAATCTGTACCTGTGTTGGCATCAACAACTAACACATATTTATGCTTATCTTTATCCAAATACCTTGAATGGATCCATGAGCCACAATAAAAAGAAAGAATACCAGGCCAAGGAATGAGTGAAATTCAGAGAGTTAAACTAAACTTTGATTCTGGTTTCCAACTTGAGGGCATTTGTGCTATTACATGAACATAAACATGCAATGAGCAGTTTTCATTGAAGGTACTGAGTGGGAGATAAAATCCAGGACTCACATAGTCAGAGAATGTATCCTACAAGTAAGGTTGCACAGTATTACACCCTCAGTGAAAGTGAGCTCTAGAGATAGATCCATTCTTCCACCTCTACTCTCTGTACTCATACTTGGAACACCAGAGAAAACTAACTGTCCGAAAGCTCATTATGTTGTTGTTGTTGTTAAGTTCCATTGAGTTGGTTCTGACTCATAGCGACCCTGTACAGGGTGTCTGAGGCTGTAAATCTTTACAGGAGCAGAAAGCCTCATCTTTTTCCCATGGAACAGCTGGTAGTTTTGAACTGCTGACCTTGCGGTTTGCAGCCCCATTCGTAACCACTACGCTACCAGATGTTAGGTTCACAAAATTGTTTAAATAGCTGTCCATATTATAAAAACTGTAAAAACCAAAACTTGCTACGAGAATGATGGATAATAATAATAAATGACAACCAGCAAGGACATAGCCATGCATAGATTATTCTAAGAGTATAGGAGAAGCCTTGAGGTATAGACTGGAGAAAAAAAAAAAAAAAGTAAATAAAATGATGTAGTGAGCTCATTTACAATAAAGGGAAAGAATTCAAAGATTCCACTTTCACTAAAGCTCATTATAGGGGAGGATTTTTCTCTGAATTTCCTGAACCAGAGACTGTTCCTTATGTGACTTTGCAGCCTGAGTTTACATCACAGTTTACTGTCAGTGCCCTTGGAAAATAACAGCAAAAAGCCCAAATTATGTATTGAAACATTAACTTTTATTATCAAAGTATTTCAATATATAACATTCCAAAAGAAAATCGCTTGCAGTAAAAAAAATCAATTAAAATGAAAAGAAAGAGAATAAAGTATAATAATAGCAACAGATAGCAAAATACAATCTAAAAACTTGAGATATGAAGTCATTTGATAAAGGATACTGAGAAAACTTCCTTACTGGTTTTTAAGCAATTAAAGAAATGCTTGAAAAATCTAAGCAATGTATATTTAATAATTAGCCATGTCTTCCAGAAATGTAAAATATAATAACTAAAACAGAGAAGCAGAAGTGTCAAGAAAATGCATGGTACAGAGAACATGAAAAAAGAGAAAACTGAAATGAAAACAGAAGAAATTGGTGTGGGGATAAGGAAGACAAAGGAAGAAAAGAAAATGAAAGAGCAGAAGGAGAAGTGGGTAATTTTAGAAAATGAAAAGGGAACGAAAAGGCAGATTGTTGTTCTTAAGTGCTGTTGAGTTGATTACAACCCATAGCGACTCTATGGGGTATCTGAGGAGCAGCTTGTAGGCTTGAACTGCTGACTTTGAGGTTAACTGTCCACTCCTTATCCTACAATGCCACAAAACATTAATAGGTAGTGATGATAAAGAGAGTGTTTGGAACTCTCTTCCTTCCAAATCTCTTGCTCTCATGCACTCATAAGCATTCCTATTAAGACTGCTTTAGATATCTCCACCTGACAACCTGTTTCTGATCCTTGTACCCCAGTTTGGGAAAACCTCCTCCCCAAAGAGTACAAAATTCTAGACCTAGCCTTGAGACAGTTATCTTTATTCAGGCCTATGTCATTCCTCTACTCCAGTGCTACCCCACCCTTTCTTCCTGCCCAGACACTCATACTTCAACACTACAGCTTCCCCAGTTGCAAGCTCAGCTCTAATCCCACCCCAATTCCTGCTTTAACCAGATATCCAGTATGATATTGGTGACTTCATGCTTTTGTTTTGCTATGAAAAAGACTTACAAGATGGAAACTGGGATCTTGCCAGAGAGGACTCTTCCTGACCCTGCCTGTACCTTCCACACTCAGGCTCTCAGAAAGGAGAGTTTATGTGTGACTTTCAGCTTCCTCTGCTTTACTGGGAGTCCGACGTTTTCTGATCCCAAAGGGGAAAGTCAGCTTTTCACCTCTTGTGATCCTTGAACAGAGTCAATGTTGCCTCTGGAGGCATAGCGAGAGTCTCAGACTTAACTCTCCTCATACCAGTTGACTGGGTAGGATGTAATAATTAAGGGAAAAGGGTATGAATAATTACATGAAAGTAAAACCTTAGGAGAGGAAGATTCAAGGTAAAATGCTACTGGTATAAACTTATTATATATTGGAAATGTGTTGATCAAAAGTATGAATTCATGGAAATACATAAAACTAATCATGCATTGTTGTTGTTGTTAAGTGCCGTCGAGTCGGTTCCGACCCATAGCGACCCTGTACAGGGTTTCCAAGGGTGTAAATCTTTACGGCAGTAGAAAGCCTCATCTTTCTCCCACGGAACAGCTGGTAGTTTCGAACCACTGACCTTAAGGTTGGCGGCCTGATTCGTAACCACTACGCTACCAGAGCTCCTACCTATACTAATAATTTGTAGTAATTATAGTATATTCAGAGAACTCCTTAATTGTTAATGTCTGTGACCAATTGATGTGTGTAGAATGTTTTCAAGAAGTCCTATTTATATGACAATTTTAAATACAAAAAGCCAATAAAACTGCTTATATGGAATGCTTTACTTCATAATATACTCCACTAAGGCCAGGTGGGAGTCTTGAGGAGGCACTGAAGGATGATGCACTTGTCCTCAATGTCAGCTTCAACTGCAGGGTCGTTTGGTTAAAACTCATTAGCTGCTTCTGGGAAACCCTATACAGTCTCTATGAGTCAGAATTGACTCGATGGCACTTAACAACAATGCCTGGCTGGAGTCCAGATGTAGTGCTGTAGTATATGCACTGGACTGCTAACCACAAGGTCAGCAGTTCAAAACCACTGGTCATTCCTTGGAAACCCTATACAGGCCCCCTGTAAGTCAGGAGCATATTGACAGCACACAACAAAAACAACAACAAATGTCTGGCTGGTCAAATGTATGATTGACGTGGTAGAAAATATTTTACTAAGCATTGTTTACCCTGCTCATTAAGATAATACAGAAACAGCTGCAAGCATACATTGACAGAGAACTTCCAGAGGTTCAAGCCAGATTCAGAAGAGGCTGTGGAATAAGGGATATCATTGCTGATGTTGTTGTTGTTGTTAAGTGCCATCGAGTCGGTTTCGACCCATAGCGACCCTGAATAGGGTTTCCGAGGCTGTAAATCTTTACGGGAGCAGATCGCCTCATCTTTCTCCCGCGGAGCAGCTGGTAGTTTCGAACTGCTGACCTTCCGGTTCGCAGCCCGATTCGTAACCACTACGCTACCAGAACTCCTTATCTGATAGTGTTCCTGTAATGGAACACTGTCAGGAAAAAGGTTCAACAAGCAACAGTGCTCATTGCAGCTAGTTACCCACTGAAGAACTGAAGCCTAAACTTCAGATTAAATGCAGAGGACTGCTATCCAAGGAAGTTGTGATCTTGCATGACAAATGACATCCTGATACCTCTATCCATACTGCTGACAGTCTTAAAAAAATTCATTTTAAGATGTTAAAGCATCCTTTCTGTGGTTCTGATCATGCTCCATGTAACTTTCACCTGTTTGGTCCCCTGAAAATAGTCCTTGGAGGAAAAGGATTCAACTCTGATTAAGAAGTGAAGACAGCAAGCAGTGCATCATGGCTCACAGCTCAGCCTAGAATACAAAAGCTTGTTGATAGGTGGACAAAGTATATTGAAAAGCAAGAAGATTGGTTTAAAAAAAATGGTGTATTTGTCTTTTCTGAAAGTTGATTAAAATAAATTCTACAGCTAGAGTAAGGATAATTTTTACCTCACACTTGTAGATTTGACTATTTCACATCCCTTTATCTAGCTGATAAAATATAAAATTTCTTAGTGTATTCTTAGTATTGAATCTCAATACTTATTAAACATTGTGCTAAAATATTGTTGTTATGTGTCTTCTCATCAGTTCTGACTTATATCAATTTTCTATAGGGTTTTCTGAAGCTGTTAACTTTCATGGGAGTAGAAAGCATGATTTTTCACACATGGAGTGACTTGTAGATTTGAACTACAGATCTTGTGGTTAATGGGACAGTATTTGTCCTACAACTCCACCAGCACGATGTGAAAAAAATAGTGGGATTATTATCTTCATCATTAAAGAACCCTGTGAGATATGTCTTATCTTTATGACTCTGTAAATGAATAAAATGATGTGAAGAAAGATTTAGTAAACCCCAACACCACACAACCACAACTCATCTGTCAGTTTGTCATACTGTGGTGACATGTGAGTTGCTGTGATTCTGGAAACTATGCACGGGTA